TTCATTACTCTCATGGCTGAATCATCAATAATCATTTTGATCAGTTAGTTCATTATTCATGATCATCCATAATAATCATTCATCATAATCATTAATCAACATAACAATTGATAACAAATAGCGGTCTAGTTTTGAGTGTTAACACTCTAACTTACCGTCATGCATCACATAATGTTTTATATGCCTAAAACATCATTTTATTATACAAAATCATATTTGTATTGTTCATAATTAATTGTTATCAAAAATAGGATTTTAGAGCATATTTTCAGGAATATATTTTCGTAGCAGGATCTGTAATTGAGCAAAATAATTTAAAATAATCATTTAGTTTATAAAAATTGATTTATATAATTTTAAATAATCCATTAATTCATAATAATTGATTTTTACAATTTAAATAATCAATTAATTCATTATAATCAATTTTTACAATTTAAATAATCAATTAATTAATTTTAATCGATTTTTACAATATCAATAATCAATTAATTCATAAAAAATCGATTTTTACAATTTAAATAATCCATTAATTCATAATAATCTATTTTTACAATTTAAATAATCAATTAATTCATAATAATCGATTTTTACAATTTAAATAATCAATTAATTAATTTTAATCGATTTTTACAATATAAATAATCGATTAATTCATAAAAAATCGATTTTTACAATTTAAATAATTCATTAATTCATAATAATCGATTTTTACAATTTAAATAATCAATTAATTTATAATAATCGATTTTTAAAATTTAAATAATCAATTAATGAATTTTAATCGATTTTTACAATATAGATAATCGATTAATTCATAAAAAAATCGATTTTTACAATTTAAATAATCCATTAATTCATAATAATCCATTTTTACAATTTAAATAATCAATTAATTCATAATAATCGATTTTTACAATATAAATAATCGATTAATTCATAATAATCGATTTTTACACCATAAATAATCGATTAAATGGTACTGACTTCGAACCACTGATCTGAATAAAATTCTAATCGATTTTTATTAAGTAAATAATCGATTTTCGGCCACTGTTCATCATCTTCTTCCTCGGGTCAGTTTTAACATTATCATTTTTTATCACCAAACTTCAATTTAATTATATAAAAATGTTCTCCAATGTTCACAGATCATTTTAGAGTCATTAATTTGTAATTTTAACAACAATTTAATTGTTTATGATTCTTGGTTCTTTAAACATGTCAAACACAAAACTCAACCAAACCACCGTTTATGAACGTAGAAACGATCTATACGAACATTCTAGTCACTAGATATATCTACGGGCTTACCTCCAAGCTTATCGAAGGTTTTGAGAATTTTCCGACGAAACTTCTGGCGACGATAACTCTCAACTCCGGCGACTTCGGTGGCAACCAACAATATCAGATTGCTCTCCTCACTCTTATGAACACAATGGTACTAAAATTTTAAGTTTTGGTGAAGAATGAGAATGTTGATGATACTCTTATATAGGGAAGGGAAGGAGAAGGAGACGTAGTTGTTGCTGAGTCATTGACGATTCACGCTAGGCTTAGTGCGCTAGGAGGCGCTGTTCGCACTGTGTCCTGATTGGGACCAATTTTGGTTCCAGTTGGGGTACACTTTTTGGTCAAACTTTCTCCAAATTGAAATCCGTTTGCACCGTTGCGATCAGACAGTCGAATTCTATTCAACGACATACTTTTCATAATTATTTGTAATACTTTTTCTGACATCATATTTTTGGGTGGTTGACTTTGATAGAGTAAAAATTGGTTTAATTGACTTTTCTCATAAAAGGTTCTCATATTTAATTCATATCAATTATTCTCATGATTTATTTTAACAAATCATTTAAATATTTACATTATAAACAAATTTTTCATTTACTCTTGATTTGGGTCTGTACTCAGGTTTCCAATCAAGACCACACAAAAAGTCAATATATTGGATTTATCTCTATGAGATTTATCTAGAGTGCGATAATAGATATCAAAACATATTTCGTATCGGCCCAAAGCCCAACAACAATATATTTTAATCAAAACAAATTTGTTTAAACGAATAATTATTTAATAATAATTCTAGGGTATGTTTCGGGGCGTTACATCCCATCACGTGCAACTGCAGTTAGGAGTGTCCCCTTGTAATATGATTTCATAAAGGACCCATCGATGATTAGGACAGGAACACAATATGGCCATCCATCCCTCCAAGCTGCGAGAGAAATGAAAAGATACTTAAAAAAGTGATTTGGTGTCGTG